AAAATTTTGTATTGTTCGATACATATGCGTACCGAACCGAAAGCACTGTATCGAACGGTTCAATATCGATACGAGTATCGTTGCACCCCTAATATTTATCTCTCTATTTCTTTGATTCAAGCTGAGTACATTAATCAGAATATAAATTTAGACTGAAATAAAATTTGTATTCCCATCTACTATTATTTTATTTTGATATTAACCCTCCTCTTATGTTAGTTTCTCAGGTAGAGCAATGATGTTCCTGGTTCCAGTTGACCTGGGGCATGTTTAGTGATATGAAAGTGTCAGAAACCAAAAAAAAAATCCACTACAGTGGTGTTCTTTACACCTCACAGATCATGGTTTTTCATGTCTCTCTCCCATCTGACAGCACTTGTCTCTCAATTATCAAATTGTATTACAGTGGTCCCTCGCTATAACGCGGTTCACCTTTCGCAGCCTCGCTGTTTCGCGGATTTTTTGTGTGTGCAATTTTGCATGCTTTTTTTCTTTTCTTTTCTCTTCTTCTTTTAATTCACACCGCATTATATTCTGCATCCTGATTGGCTGTAGACCATTGTCAATCAATTTCATGCTGTGTCTCCTGTACAGTACAGAATGCGTTCAGCTTGTCAAATTTACATAAATCTTCGATCGCTAGCAGTCTGACTCTGAAGTGCTGCACTGTATGTTTGTAAGTTTTCTCCCCAACAAACACAACAACGTCGACGAAATGTTTTGCGCCGTCAAAGGCACCTGCAGTAGCACCCAAAAGGCAGAGGAAGATGCTAACCATCGCACAAAAAGTTGAATTTCTGGACATGGTAAAGGAAGGTAGAAGTTACTGTATTTCTCAGACTATAAGGCGCATTGCGTGAAACAAAACAGTCACTCAATGCGAAGAATGAGTCAAACTTTACTTGACTCATTCTTCTTGCTTCCTCCACTTCCGTACCCTTGATTCATTAATGCTGAATTCTCTGGCAGCTGCTCTATTCCCATGTTCTGGACCTAAAACAGGGTTTGATCTTTGGTTTAATTCTATAATACTGGACTTATTTTTCTACGAAGGTTTGAACTTTGGGAGTGTTTAAACAAGAGAGCAACGTGTGAAAATGTTCATGCTTGTCTGAGAAAAGTGTATAACGTGTGTAGTGAGGGGTTTTACAGCCTTAAAACAGCTATAATAATTGTAAAAAATAAAGTTGGCTACTTTGCAGATTTCACCTATCGCGGGTAATTTTTAGAACGTAACTCCCGCGATAAACAAGGGACCACTGTACTCTGGAAAAAGTATAAAGTGTCCAGAGACAATGTGGCAAAAAAATAAATAAGACACGTCCTCCTCCTCCTCTATGATCAAAGCTGAGTTCCAGAGCCTCCAGGGCTGTCAAATGTTTCAAAGAAACGAGCAGTGTTTGACACTTCTGAACCCTTTAACCTCCACTTTGACTACTTGGTCAAATTGACCCAAACAATATCTATGTAATATAAACATGGAGGGCGTACTTACAAATATGTAAAGAATGTCTGTAATTTTCTTTTTTTTTTTTTGCCACCTCTTCTGTTGAAAGTATTTTGTGTATTGCTCCATATATATATATATATATATATATATATATATATATATACCTATGATACACCTCTTTTGCCTACCTGTGCTTTTGCAGTCGTCCATTTCTTCAGAGCCTGAAAAAGGTCCTTTGGTCTCACAATGGTGTGTGTGGAGCAGTTCATGTAGTTAGTCTCAGTCTCTTGCTTGCTGCAAAAGTAGCAGCAGGACAAAAAAAAAAAAGAAAAAAAAAAGGTAAAACATAGAAATAAAAAATGTTGTTATTGGAAAAAAATACAAATAATTTTGCATAAAGCTACAAGCAGGCAGCAAGTCAGTTTGTCCAGTTCTGCAGAACAAACAATAAATTGTTAATTATTTATAAAATTACATACCACCCATATAACACCAGGCTGAACATGGTATTGAGAGAAGGATGTTACATTTAATAAATGCATTTCTACTGTTGGCTTTATTTTAAAAAAAAACAAAAAACTATTGTGATTATTTTAGAAAATACATCAAGATACAATTACCCTACACATATAATCTAATATACACTTATTTCATGATGCACAACATATCAGTTTACCTCCATTGTGGGTGCAGACTGTTATCCAACTGTTGTTCTAAATTACTCAGGCACCGTCTCTGAAAGTGATGAGAGACAAATATAAGTCTATATACTCCAAGGACTTTATTACATTTCCAGTGTTGGGAAAGTTACTTTTAAAATGTATTCCACTACAGAATACAGAATACATGCCCCAAAATGTATTT